CTCCTTCCCCTTTCCTGCTTCTTCTCGGCTGTTGCATCCCTTCCCCCCTGCTCCACACTCAACTTGGAATCAGGTTTATTCAAACAATGGCCAGCCAAAAGGGGTCCAGGTTCTTCTGTGCACAGGGCCAGGCGCTCCTGCCTCACCAGGCCCAGAACGGATGATCTGCTTTGGGAGCAGAATGGGCAGCAAAGGCAGCACGGCCCCCTCCCCCGTCCTTGCTCTGGGTTCAGGGAAAGACAGGTGGACCGATCAAAATACGGCACAGGGTCCTCTGAGGGCCCTCAGGCACCAAGCGTTCTGGGCCAGTTGGACAAAAGAGATGCATTGTGCATAGAAAACTTTCAGGGTTAGTTTTCCCTTTGTGAAAGTATAAAATGACCCCGGGACACTTGGCAAATAGGATGAAACAGCTCCTAGTCCCCATCGTCCCAGAAATGTCTCTTGGCCTGGGCGTGCTGGTGCTCAGCTGCTAAGCAGGCCCCGGTTCTGAGCCGGGCCTGGTGCAGCCAGCCTTCCTTGCTGGAGGCCTTCAGCCAGAGATCCAAGGAAAGGGGCTCCCTGAGGCAAGCGAAGGAGGCTTGCTTTGTGGTGTCCTTGCCCAGAGAATCAGGCCATCCCACCAAGGGCTTCCGGAGCCGTGCCCAGCATGGCCCCCAGGTTTCCCCCAGGCCCAGAGCAGGAGAGGGAGCTGAATGTCATAGGTGCACTTGGAGTATTGTGGGGTGGGGGGGTGGGGGTTGCATACACAGAAACGTGCCCCCCTGCTGCCAGTGGGCAACCGGCAGGGAGCCTGTGTAAACTGAAAGTACTATGCCCACAGATCTTCCATGCCCAGAGGCAGTCTACCTCCGAATGCCACATGCTGGGAACACCACCTGCACGGCTGCTCAGAAGCTGCCCAGAGTGGGAAGAAATTGCCGCGAAAGGCGGCGCCTGCTCTCGTTGGGCCGCAACGTGCTGTGTTCTCCTTAAGCATGTTTTCTCTCAGCGGAAGGGAAGGAAAAACTGACGGTGGAAGAATCTGGGGCGGCTCCACGGTCTCGCACAGGGGCTCCCCTTGGCAGGCGGCCCCAAGTCAGCAAGCCCCACAACCTTCCTTAGCACTTGGACGGTGACACGCTGCTCTTTCACTCAAACCCCTGAAATACAACCCATCACAGAACCGACAGGGATAATACAAAAATAGGAAATCGGCTTCCCTTTTTTAAAAAAAGCTCCCAAGGCCCCTCAGTTCCCAGGTGCTGCTGCTGCTGCTGCTGCTCTGAAGGGTCGGTTGTTGTGGTTTCCCACCACCAGCGTGTGAGCCAGGCAGTGGCTGCCAAGAGGAAGAGCCCCAGCCGAGGTGTGGTGCCCAAAGTCCTTTCTCAGCCAGCAGGCCCAGCTTCCCTCCCGGGACAAAATCCATTCTGCCTGTGCAACACGCTCAGCCTCGCCCAGCTGGTGACCTCAGCCAACTGCTGCCAGCTGCCCCATAAATGCTCCCGGAGCCGTCCTCCACCCAGGTCCTCCTGAGCTGCTGGACGGCAGGGCAGATCCCCTGCAGCCGCTACCAAGAAACCGGGCAGGATGGAGGGCAGGGAAGAGGCCAAGGAGCAGATCCTCCTCCATCAGGTGGGTGTTGATGTTTGGGGTCTTAAGGAGAGAAGAGCTTTCCTATTTGCCCCCACAATCAGCTCGGCTTCAACTTGAACATCTCTCGTACCATGATTATCTGCTGCCAAATTGGTGTTGACTCTGAGCAACCGCAATGGAAAGGTTTTCTTTACGAAGATGATCCCACAGCTGCCACTTTGGATCATCCAAGGGAGCCCCTGCCCAGCGCCTCCCCCTGGCTGCTTCTGGGCCTCTTCTTCTCTGGGTCTCTGCACCAAGCAGCTGGTAATGCAGCTGGGGCCTTGGGGCCTTAAGGGAGAACTCTGGGTCGGTGGCTGCAACGGAGCCTCAGTTGCCTTTCTTGGCCCCTCACCGAGGTGAGTAGTGCCGGCATTATTTTTTCCCTGCTTCTTCAGGGCCCACCTTTTGCCTTCATGGGGCTCCCTAGAGAACACCATGACCTGCCTGAGCTCGATCTTTGTAGGGGAGGCGTATCTTTCCCGAGCCCTTCATGGAGTCTCTCCCAAGGGCGGCCGGCTGGCGACCTCTTTCTTGGCTGCCATGGCTGAAGGCAAAGGCTTCCCTGCCAGTTCCAAGGCAGGTGGGCCTACCTGGCTCTCACCCAGGTTCTTCTCAGCCGTGTAAATTGTGGAGAATTATTTGCTATGATTTTGATAGTTTTTTTAAAAAAGTAATAGTTGATATTTTTCTACTTTTAATTGACTCTACCCTTCCTTCCTTATACAAGTCTTTTTTTATTTGAATAAATAAAAATGTGAATAAGTTAGCCATGAAGATTAGATTTAGAGGAAACCCAGGACTTGCAAGGCAAATGCACTCACTGCCCAGCAGGGAGCTGGAAAGGTCTAGGTGTGGCCAAAGACGAGAAGGCAGAGGCCGAGGAGGAGCCCCGGGGGGGGGGGGGGGGGGGCCCCCCCCCCCTTCTTCGGGGCCGCCGGGGCGGGGGGGGGGGGGGGCGCCGGGGGGGGGGGGGGGGAGGGCAGCCCCCCCCAGTTCTTCAGGGCAGCCGGCCCAGAGGGGCTGCTGGGCATCTGGGGAGTGGGCATCAGTCTCGGCCTCTTCTCAGAGGGGCTTCGGTTTCTGGCTGAGATTGTGACCCTGCACTGTGCAATCCGGCACTTCTCCCTCTGCTTGAAACAAAAAAAACTTTTATCATAAAAGTTATGTAACAAAAATTCCTGTTTTGCAATATGCAGTGGCAATGGAAGAAATGTTGCAATCAGGGATATTCTCTCTCTGTGTGTGTGTGTGTGTGTGTGTGTCTGTGTCTGTGTCTGTGTGTGTGTGTATGTACAACACTCCAGCATTGGTTATGACAGATGTGATATTAAATATTGTAGGGCCTCATCCACACCCTTTCCCCAGAAAACTTGCTTGCAAAAGGTAGCCTGAGGACACCATGTGCAGTGGTACATAGAACATGTGTTTTTATGAGCTAACTGGAAGCTGGATAGGTTAAATACATACATGTTTTAAAGGGGAACGCTTTCTTGGAGCTGGATCTTCCTCCGATAAGAGAGCTATGGGACCAAGTCGGTGGCAGCAACTGGATTTTAGCAAAATCTTCGAAGGGCTTCCTCAGCCTTCTAAATATGCTGGATTACAATTCCCATAAATTATGCAGGCTAGAAGGGTAGGTATTAATGATGGGGGATCCGTTAAATATCTGAAAGGCTTGTAATTCAAAATTATGAAAAAAAACACCTTTTCCCTCAACACAATCATATATAATTCCACTTAATCAAATTCATGTCACCAATTCTTGCTCCTGGTTTTCTGGGTGCGCATCTTGCTGTCAACCAGGTGATAACAACAGATGGACATGCTGCCACCTTCCTCAGTGAAGTCCCTTAATTCTCAGCCATATGAGTGTAAAGTCTGGGAATTGTTACTCTACACCCCCCCTTGGGAAATGAGTTAAGTGGCACCTGGTTTGATTTAAAAGGTGCAATCCTGTCTCCATTTCTAGCACATTCTTTTCTTTCAGCACATTTGTCTGTGTCACCTTGCTTCTTTCTCTGGAAAGGAAGTTTGTAACTCTCCTCAGCCGCTGCTTGCCAAATGTTTTCCTGTGAAGAAAGCGGTTGTGCAGCTCTTCCCCCAGGGTGGATGCCAAGTCTTCTGTGCCCCGAAGGCCCCACCCTCCGGAGGCGGAGGAGGATGTGAAGCAAGCCCAGGGCTGCAGTAAAGGAACAAGTCTTGAGCAAGGTCAGCTGGAGGCAGGAAGGCGCAGTGGTTGCAGTGGCTGCCTGGGTAGTAGAAGAGCTGCTGCTGCTGCTGCCCCCTTGGCCCCCCTCCATCTCCAGTGCAGGACACCCCTCGGAAGCCGCCCTTATAGTGCAAGGAGGTGGGAGGATCCTGAGCACTGGGGCACCTGCTGCCATTTTGGGCTGCCCCTGGGAGGAGGGTGTGAGGGGCTGCGGGACTCTCTTTCAGGATCCCTTTCTAGCTTGATTGGGTCTTTGGAAGAGGGGACCTCTGCCCCCCCCCCCCCCCGCGGGTCTTTCCTTCAATCTCAAAAGAGAGCCAGCAGCACAGATCGGGCGTTCAACCCTCCTTCCCGCTGTTAGGCATACGCAGAAGTGGATGTGTGGATGGGACACCCCGCTTTTCTCTCCGCGAAAGGGCTGGGAGGAGGTGCGGGGGGGATCCAGGTCTCCTTGGGAGAACTGCACGCGGGGCCACCGGCGGCGCTTAGAGGCTCCGTTGGCGTTAAATGCCCGTTCATGCGGAGCCCAGAAACGCCTTCGATACCAGGGAAGCTTACAAGGGTCCCCACCGTCTCACTGGCGACTGCTGGGCGGTCCGGAGCAGGGCCGGCATTGGAGGCGCTCAGCCGCGCGCAGGGAGGAGACGCCGGCACGGACGTTGCGCCTCCCGCAAAGCCGACTCGGGACAAAGGGGGGGGGGGAGTAACTGGACGAGCCGCCGCTCGCAAGGCAGCGCCTGGCTCCCGCCTGGAGCCCCGAGCGGCCGGGCTGGTGGGCGAGAGGTTGCCTCCGTCACCCAGGCAGCGCCCTCCCGGGAAGCCCAGCAAGCGCGGGAGGCGGCTCCGGGACCCGCCAAGGACGGGGCTCCCCGCGCCGGCCTTGCGCCGCACTTCCCCGGAGCTGCCCCCACCCCTGGCCGGGCTCCGCGAGGCTCTCCTGGCGCTGCCGGGGCTCCGCGAGGAGCTCGCAAGGATGCGCGGACGGGCGGGGCGGCTCCCTCCTCCGCACGTGCCGAGAGACACGCCGCCAGGCACCCCAAGGAAGGCAGGGAGGAGGGAGGGAGGGGGGCAGCCTCGCCGCTCGGCCCCCGGAACAGCCGCTCCCTCCTCCCCCCCCGCACACACCCTCCGCCCTCGGCCAATGGGCGGCGGCGGGCAGGGCGCGTCACGCGGAAGCCGGCCGGGATGCCTGCTTAGCCGGCGCGCCTGGCCAGTCCCTTGCTCCGTCCCAGCTCCGCTCCCGCCGTTGCCGCGCGGGCTCCTTCGCGCCGGCCGAGGTGGCCCCGGGCAGCAGCAGCAGCAGCAGCGCCGCCGCCGCCATGATCGCCTCCCACCTGCTGGCCTACCTGTTCACCGAGCTCCACCACGACCAGGCGCAGCGGGTGAGGCCGGGCGGCACGTGGGCGCAGGCCGGGCGCGCCTCCTCCGCTCCCGCCAGCCGCCGCCCCGGGACCCCGCCTCGCCGGCACAGCCTCGCCCGCCACGGGCCCGGCTCTCGGGGAGCGGGGCCGCTGGGCGTCCCGCTGGCGTCGGGGGCCGAGGGAAGGTTGGGGCGGCCGGCCGGGCTCCGTCCCGAGGGCAGCGGCTGAAGAAGCGGCGCGGCGGCCTCGAGGCCTTTCCGGGCGGGCGCCTAGCCCAGAGCTGCCCCGCCATCAGCGCGAGCGGGGCGGGAAGCGCCTCTTCGGCCCGTCGGGTCGCTCGCCTGAAGAAGCGGCGGGGAGAGCCGGCTGCGGCCTCTCCGGAGCCGGCGTTTCCCGCCCGGCCAGAAGGGAGGCGGGCCGGGCGCAGCTGGCATCGTTTCCCCTTGCCCGAGAGGTGCCGGCAGCAGCCGCGCCCGAAGGCTCCCCGGGACCAGCCCAGCCTCCTTCCCGGCGAGGAGAAGCCCTCTGGGCGCGGCCGCTGCCCGCATTCAGCCCGCTCTGCTGCAAAGCGGTGCCCGCGAGCGCCCGCTGCCCTGCAGAGGCCCCCAAGGCCCGGGGGGGGGGAAGGCCACGCGGGGGTGCTGGTGGCCAAGCCCGCTGATCCCGCCGCAGGAACGCAAAAGGGCCGCCGCGCCGTTTGAAAGGAAGATCGGCTTTGCTGGCTCCCCAAAGAGCCTCCCGGGGTCTTGTCTCCCCCCCCCCCCCAGCAGAGTTGGCTTTCCTCGTCCTCTTGCCGTGCAGCAGAGCCCCCGGAGCCAAGAGCCACGGCATCGTCCTTAGGCGCCCATTTCATGCCAGAGCTCCGGTTTTGGCCTGGGGCTTAAAAAAACAACCAGTAGCCGGAGGGGCCCAGCCGGTTGGTTGCTATTGGAGAAGTCCTGTGGCCCAAAGCAGGTGGGTCATCATCTCCAGCCAGTGAGCGGTTCCTTTGGCCTGCCTGCCGAGGGATCTGGGATCTCCCTGGCCTTGGTCGGAGACCCTTCCTTGCCGTCCCGTTCAGGGAGTCTCCCAGGAGGGAGAGGCTGTCCTCAGATCGGAGCCATTCCAGGGAGAGGAAACAGGGCCATGTTGCTCTTCCATCCCAGGCGGTAGCATCTCCTGGCCCGGCTGGTCCCCATTTCCTCGGAAGGAAGTCAGCAGTCCAGCAACCCTTTTGAAAACCTCCCCGATTCTTCCTCCAAAGTGCATCTTTGGAGGCTCTTCTCCTTCCCTGGAGTTTCCTGGGATTCAAAGGCTACCCGGGGACTCAGCAGCCATGTGGAGAAAGGCAGAGAAGGGGAAGGGATCCTAAACATGGCCCCCTGTCCTGGCCATGTCCCCTCCCCCCACCCTCAAGTGGACTGGCATTGCAAGGGGGCAGTGGGGGGAGGCAGAGGGTCTGGACCCGCCCTCTTCCTACTGCAGCGCTAGGATTGGTGGACACCCCCCCCCCCCCCGCAGCAGAGCCAGAGGAACCAACCAATCAGTCCTTCTGCTTACTGTGCCTTGTGTGTGGGTGATGAGGGGGCACTTTTGGGAGGTGGCAGAGCGGAGGCTGGGGGGGGGGGCAGCGGAGGGATGACTGGAGAAGAAGTCCTGGACTCGTTTTTTCCAACCTGGGCTGGCCGGCTGGCTCTGCTCCCTCTTTCTCGCACAGGCCTCCCTTGCTGAGGAGATGGCATCATCAGGAATGCGCACAGGCCCTCCCTCCGTAACCTCCCAAAGAAGTGGTGGCACGTTGCTCTTGGCCAAGGGGAGAAGCCCCTGGCTTGAGCTGTGCCTCGAGGCCCCTTGGAGCCTGTGCAGGGCACCCCTAGGTGCTGATCTGCCCCCCCCCCAGTGAAGGAGGGGCCACCTCCTTTTGCACAGCCCCTGCCCTGCTTGATATTGGCCTGGCTCAGGGCAGGAAGGGCAGCGGCACATTGAGCAGACCGTCCTTGTCGTATGGCAGGCGCTGCCCTCCAGGGTGTGGGAGGGTTTCTCCTTGGAAGGGCTGCGGACAATCTGCCCTTTGGGAAAGGCATAACCTGCAGGGCCATAAAATTTCCCCCAGTCACTTCAAATACCGTATGTAAGTTGTAACTGCCAGATTGTTTTAATCTGCAGCATAGTGGGAGGAAATATTTATCTACTAGTTATTCTTGTAAATCAGTAAATATCATATTTGAGAAAAAAAAGTTCTAATTTTCCTTGATATATTGCTTCAGAATTTTAGGATCCTTTGCTCTGTCAGGTTGTGCAACTTTGTTTGGGTTCAGTTTGGAAATCAAACTTCAGACTCTGAAGGATCTTCTGCTGACATGGAGGCTGGCCAATCCCTGCAGTTCTGGAGCCTCTCCGGTTGCCTTGGAAGAGTTAACAGTGGCTGGAAGGAAACGCCCCGTTTCCCAAAATCCAGAAGGGGGAGAGGAGGGGAAAGAGCCTCCTTGTGCCTCTCTTCCCCATCGGTCCATTTCCTCCAGTGCCCTTGAATTAGCATCCAAAACGTTGTGCCTGGGCTGTCGCCGTTATGAACCGTAACAATGCAGTTCCCACTCTTTTACCTTTCAGTGCATTGCATTGTTACAGTTCTTAACGCTTGTTGAGTTACAAATTAGACTTGCTGTATCTGAGGCGTTATTATAAGATATAATTTGTATGCTGGAGTTCTAGGAATGAGGAATTAACACCAAAATGAGACTAACATATGCCTGCTCTCTAAAAATATGATGTCAGTTAAACACAACCAATAGATGCAATTTGGATGCAGAAGTACTGTTTCTTCCGGTTTTGGCTTCCTGCACGGAGTAACTTGAAGGGCTGACCTCAAGGCAACCTGCTGCTTTGGGAAGAGCCCAGAAATCAGCGCTGGTGTCCCAGTCACCACACCTACCTTAGCCAAAACAGCCTCCAAAAGGTCACCTTCGGCATCCAAATTGCATCTGTTGTTCTCTTGGTAGAGAAACCCATTCTCTGCTATTGGCCTTGGTTATTGTTTACCCTCTGGGTCTCTTGGTGTGATTTGCGCTGATGGGGGCAAGCCTCTCCCCCCCCCCACCAGGAGAATTGTGCTGGAAAGGAAGGTGGGGGGTTGCGGTCCTTCTGGTTTGAAAGGCTGTCAGGCTAGGAGAGGGGCTTGCTCTCCACCTTCTCCACCCTTGGCCCTTCCTGCCCACAGCCTGGACAGAAGCACCCTAAGTTAGCCATGGCTTTCTCCATGGATCTGCCCCGCAGCAGCTGAGTAAGGCCCAGGGGATGTGTAGCATAGAATGAGGGTGGAGGTGAGCCAAGAAAGAACCAGCTAAGCAGGAAGCTGACTCACTGGGTGCTGAGCGAGACCTCGGCCAAGAAGGAGGGTAAACCATTTGACGCCACCCTCAGAATAAGGAGGAGGGAAGTGGGGAGGCGTTCCGCTTTCAGCTGCTTCTTGCCTTGCCTTGGCTCAGCTCATTGGGGCTAATGGTCGGCTCCCACTTCCTCAAGGGCTGCTGCCCTACGGTTGACCTCTGGCTCTGGTGCTGAGCATGGCTCTCCCGAGATCAGAGCAGCTCTGGGAATAAGGAGGGGAGGAGCAGAGCCTGCTGGCTGCCTCAGGAGCAGATTCTCCCACCAAGTAGATTCCTTGGCCAAACCTTTCTTGGTTGAGGGCTGCGGGCAGGCAGCCTCATGTGAATGGGCTCCGCGTTTATGTTCACATGAGGTTACCTGCGGTTGGGGACTAGAGTGCGCAGGAGCTGCCAACCCCTTATCGGACAGGGGCATGAGAGTAGCCAGGGCTTTTCCAACTCTAGTTTGTTGAACGAGCCACCGTGAGCCTCGTCCAAAGACCACCCAGTGACTCTGTGGCTTGGCGGGGGGGGATGGCTCTGCCGCGCTTGGCCTTGGCTCATGGAGGCCGCCTGGAAGCCCCTGGGTAGAATGGTCGGCTCTGGCCCTGGGCTGCAGTGGGCAGGCGTGGGGTGGAGGGGAGGACGTGCGGGTGGCCAGGGGCTCCCCAAGCAAAGCCCTCGGGGCTTGTGCTGCTCATTGACACACACACCCCCCGGGGTCCCCGGATGCAGGCAAAGAAGGGGCTGTACCTCAGGCTAACTTTTCTGATGAATGGGCTTTTGGAGATCAGGCCAGAGAACTGGGGGGGGGCTTGTCAGTTGCTGGGAGTCAAGACCGTCTCATACAGCATCACTACCGTATGTGGCAATGGAAAGTGCCCCCCACCCCCCAAAAAAGACGGCCTAGAAATATGTTTTAAGGAGCTCTGTGGTTCCAGGGCAAGGACAGGAGATCGGCTGTCCCTCCTGTGTTCCGTGTTTAAGCCAGGCTGAGGGCTCCCTTTGAAAAGAAGTGTGGATTCAGACACACCTTCTCCTCTGTCCTGGTGGGCACCTGGTTGTGAGAGCCAATAAGGTTCAGTCTCTGTTTGTTGAAAGAATTGAAAAACTCTCGGTGCTTCCTGTTCCTCTGCTGAAACAAAGCGGATGCAACCTTTGGGCTGCAACGCAGGAGGAAGCAAAGAGGTTGCACTCTGGCTAGAAAAAGGGACGGCAAATTTAGTCGTGCCTTGAAGCATACCACAAATTCCTCAAGGCAGTTGCTTTACTTGGACAAATGAAGACACACAAAATTTCCACCTGGCAACATGGTTAAGTTAAACCATTCAATTTAAACTATGGTAGAACTGCCAGAAAATCAGCTTGGCATTCTCTGAAATCCAGAAATTGGGGAGATCACTTCATCCAATTTCTGCAGAAGGAGAAATCCATGTCCAGGAATTTGACAAAGGCAGGAGGCTAAATAAAAGCCTCAAGGGAAGAATTTCTTGAGAACGTCTCCTGGGAGTTAGGGAAGGTGTGGGACAGCCAGGTGGCTACAAGTCCCCAGAGGGAGGATGAACCCAATGAAAGGCACAGCCAACCTGCAACCAAATGAAAGCACCACACTTTCCCTTGGAAATAAATGTCAAAATCAAGTGAAAGATAATTGGTAAAAAAAAAAAATCAATGAGAATGTCTCTGTCCAGCACTGAATTAAATCAATTGCTGGAAAAATCAAAGAACGAACCCCTTATTTCCCCCTCTCCCCCTGGGAGTACTAAAGGATTGCTAGCTTCATATTTTTAGCTGATTGCGAAAGCCAACTTCCTTGTTGGTTTGTGTGATCTTCCCCTCCCTGTTACATGATCATGTTAGTCTTGTGATTCTAACTCAGCAGGAACTGGGAGTTGCTCAGGGTGTTCTGGGTGGGTGTTCTGGAGAAGTTGGGGCCCTGTGCCCAGGGATCATTGCTGTGGCCTGGAGCTGACACCTGGCAGGCAGTCCGGCTGGCCTGTGGGCGCTCTGCTGCCCCATTCCTGCCCCCGAGCTAGCCAGGACAGGTGGCTGCCAGTCAGAGCTGGGTTCTCTGAGCTGGAGGGACGAAGGACCTGATTTCCTGAAAGGCACTTGGCTTTGGCACCGCTGGCCTCGGGTGCCCCACCCTGGCCAAAGTGGGGCTGCCGTTGCTCCCCCCCGTCAAGGCTGCCCCCTTTCCTTCCAGGACAAGAGGGGCTGGGCCTCCTTGCTCCTCTCCGCAGTTTCTCTGCCCTGCCTCTGTTTACAGGATCAGCCGGAGCCAGGGTGGCTCACCCGTGTGCCCTGGCTGTTGGTAGCTGGCCAGGAAAGACGTCACATTAATTACACGTCCCCTTGGTGGACAGGAATGGCGGCTGCGGGCAACTGGTGTGTGCCTTCCATTTTGCCCACAGATTCTTTCAAATGCAACCTTTTTAAGTGTTGTGTTTGTAACTGGGAAATCAATGCATTTTGGTGTTTCTCTGCTACAAACTTTCAGCCCTGGTTCTTCCTGCAGCCTGTGGCTAGAAGAGTCTGAAAAGCGGAAGTTGCTCGCTTCAGCCACTGTATCACCTTTGAAATCCTGCTAGTGCAGCATATGGCATGAACTTTAGGAAACATTTGCCTGCTGATGAATGAACTTAATTCTGGAACCGGCAGCAGTGAAGCGGTTTCCCCATCAGGAGGTGAAGGGCCTGGCGGGGGAGGGGATGTTGTGGGGGTGTCCCTGGCTGGCCAACTCCCGTCTGCCCTCCAGTCGCATTGGAAAAGCTGCGTAAGTGAACGAGCAGCAGTTCCCAGGCGGGATCCTTCAGTGAGGCAGCCAGGGCTGCAGCACGTGGACCAAATGAAAGCTCCCCCCCCCCCCCCCCCCCCCCCCCCCCCCCCCCCCCCCGCCTGCTCTGCCTTTGGAAAAGCTCCGCTTGGGAGGCTGCTGGCCGGCCTTGGAAAGCGGCCTTCTGGACCCGCTGGATCCGTGAGCCTTCCCTCCGACCGTCAGGGCCAGCCGGGCAAAGCGGTGGTGCTGCTGCTGCTGCCGCCGCCAGTGGGCCACAGGTGGGGAAGGTGACCCAGGATGGTCTGGAGGGGGAGGGGGCGTTTCTACGCCCCAAAGCTGTGGGCGTGTCAACCCACCTTTACCTCAGTTTCTTCTGGTCTTCCTTTTTAAAGTGGCTGAGTTTTATAGTTCCCATGGCTTTTATTTTGCAAGCCTTTCTCGTTCTGTGTGAAACAGACTCCGGTCACTGTTCTGTGTTTCCTTTGAGCCTTCCCAAGTGGGCCAAGGCAGATGCCATCGCATCACTCCTGAATCTTGGTTAGTTGAAGGGGAGGGGGGGCCTCCAGGGTGATAAAGGCACTGGAGGCAGAAGCCGCTTCCCCTGCACTGGTCCATCTCGGCTGGGCAATGGCTGCTGTCTGCCGGCTGATCACAGCTCTCCGGGGTGCACCTAGCGAGCAAATCACAGGCCTTTTTATTGTCCTGATGGAGAGTTACAGTCTTCTGGTCACCTGAGCTTTTTATTGATCTGGTTCGATTAGTCATGTGGTGCCACGACAATAATCTATTTTAAAATGTTTAGGTAATCGGAAGGCGGGACTTTTTCTGTGCCAGCAATGCTCTTTCCTTGGTCCTAAGGAGGCTGCCGTGTAATAACGGCTAGGGAACAACTGGCAGTTTTAAATGGGGAGCATCGGCTGGCTGAGCTCACTTCAACTTAGCAGCCCCTTGGCAGCCTTTGACCCCATCAGTCCTTCACCGCCACCCAGTGAAGTCTGGGGAGCTGAAGGAACCTCACTGGTGAAAGCAACAGCAAGAGCCATTTGGGGAACGCGTTGCATCTTGCTTGACTGGGCATCTTCATGCAGACACACAGACCTGCCAGGTCCTTCTTTTGGGGGGATGGCAAGAGTGTGCAAAGCGCAGAAAGGAGGAAGAAGCAATAGGAAACCTGAACGAAAAGCTGGAGAGGAAATGGAGCTAAACCTAAAGTGCAGCAATACAGTTTGTTACACCTGGCCGTGCCTCCCTCTCAGGCTTCCGACACAGCAGATTCTCAGGTCCCTACAACAACGTGAAGATGCACCTGCCATTGTTGCTTTTGATAAATGCCCCTTCCTGGCAACAGGCCAGGGCTGCCCTTCTGCCAATATTTGCCTCTCTTAAAATTCCACGATCCATTTTCCCACGTTGGCGCAGTGGGCAATTTGTTGGCCTGCTTAGGATTAACCTCCTCAGTTCACCCTTTTCCTGCACACAGTGAGGACCGATTTGAGATTCCAAGGTGCTGTTGGGTTGGGGTTCATATTAGCTCTTGTAGTTCCTGCCTCCTTTGAAAGTGGCCTGACCCACCTTTCTCCTGTTGCCAGGTTGACAAGTACCTTTATCACCTGCGGCTTTCAGATGACACCCTCCGTGACATCTCCAAACGGTTCCGGAAGGAAATGGAGAAGGGCCTGAGGGCAGACACCAACCCCACAGCCTCTGTGAAGATGCTGCCAACCTTCGTGAGGTCCATTCCTGATGGGACAGGTAAAGGGTTGTCTCCCCCACATTAAAAGGCTGTCCGCTTCAGGCTCCAGAGCTCTCTTGATTGTAGAAGTTCAATTCTTCCTTATATCAAATGTTGTTTAGAGCATGTTAGATGTCTAGCTGGGATTTGACTCTTTCAAACCTTTCAAGAACATTTCTTAAGCTTTTGGATCTTTCCTATGCAAATGGGCCTCCAAAGATGGAGGTCGTGTTTTCTGAATTCTGTCGCTTATGCTGTAGTGTGTTTCTGGAGCAGTTTTCACCAAATTGAAAGCCTTTCGGGAGACTTGACTCTGTATGGTTTATTGGCCATGTATTTTTTGTTTTTCCCATGAGTTTTAGAGGAAGCCCGCTTGCTTACAAGGGACCCTTTTTCAAACCACCTTTAGGAATATGGGAGAAGGCACCCCGTTTTACCTCTAGGCGAGGGGTGTTATTTTTTTCTGCTAGGGCCATGCTTGGCCACCTGCCAGAAAGTAGGTGTTGAGCAGTGATCATTCACCTTGGTAGAAGCACCAAGAATGATACTGTGCAAGATCCTGCGCCTCGACTGCCAGGGTGCCCATGTGCCCGTAGGTCAGGCCGTGTCTTCCTCCTCCTGGAGAAAGCTGAGCCTCCCGGACGTTTGTTCCCCTTCATGAGCTGCAGGCCGAGGGGGTCAGTGACCGGCCGGTGTTCCCAGGGGATTGTCAACCCAGAGTGGCTCTTTGTTTTTTTCGCATCCTGCCTGCATACATGAAGGAAATGGGCTCCATCTCTCTTCCTCTCTCCCTGCCTGCCTCATCCCCTTCGCCTCATCTTCCAACAGAGGAAGGCGACTTCTTAGCGTTGGATCTTGGTGGCACAAATTTCCGGGTGCTGAGAGTCAAAGTGGCAGATAATGGCAGCAAGAAAGTTGAGATGGAAAATCGTATCTATGATATTCCCGAAGACCTGATGAGAGCCAGTGGGACCCAGGTGAGCCCTGTAGTTTTTCTCTGATTTGAGCACTCTCTACGTCTTCTCTATGTCCTCTCTGCATCCTAATCTAGCTGATGTACTCCTGGGGCAGAGAACCTCTGGATTCTACGGAAAATGTAATGAATAGGCTCTTTATGGCAACTCGCAGTGCTCCCAAAGTGGTCTCTAGCTTGTTTTTCTGACCAAAAAGCGATTCTTGTTTTCAGTATCTGTAAATTTCCCCATCTCAAAACACATAATTCCACTTTTTAAATTTAACTTACATTGTAGATCTTCACAGAGTATTAAAGGCCGTGCCATAGAAAATTTAAACAATACAATGACACTTACAGAGCAGTACAGATCAAAATTGAAAAGCCAATTCAGTGGAATGATTTCTAAATCAAGACCTGAGAAAGCCTGATTGCAAATGTGAACTTTATCTAATGGAGAAGAAGGCTTGTGTCCTTTGGTTCAAATGAGGTTGGGATGAATCCAGAGATTGGCCTTAGAACAGTTTCATTACTGAATTAAGCAATAACATCAGTGCCAGAAGGGGGTAGGTTAGAGCAAACCCTGCTCCCTTCTAGCACTGATGATGTTACCTAGTTTGGTAATGAAATGTCTGCAAGAAAACAACGGAACTCAGAGTTCACCACAGGCCCCTTATTTCAATCCTGAGCTGCAACTATTCTCTTCTAGCTGTAGATTTTTTGGGGATATAGTTCAAGTCTCTGATATTGGAGATAATGCATAAATGTCGCTTGCATTTTGATTTTGATGTAGTTGTGATGCCTTGGCTCTACATAGATTAGAGCAAAGGCTTTGGCGCATCTGGACAAACCCAAACCTTTGGGTGATTGGATTTTTATTTCTACCTTTTCAGCTCTTCGACTACATTGCTGACTGTTTGGCCAACTTCATGGAGCAGCTGCAAATAAAGGACAGGAAGCTGCCCCTGGGCTTCACCTTCTCCTTTCCCTGCCACCAGACCAAGCTAGACGAGGTGAGTGAGGTTTGTGCTCCTGAGGCCGCCCTGGGTCTCTGGCCCAGAGAGTCTCTGCAGCCTCTTTTCCTGAGGTCCGTGTCCTCTCATGGCCAGCCTGTGAGTGAGAGGGGCTCCATCCATCCACGGCTGTCCAGTTGTGCTTCCCCCTTTGAAGCTGACCACATTCAGAGCATCTGCCTGGCGGGTAAAATCCATTATGCTGGAGCGCCTCTTACATCAGAGGCAAACTTTGGAGGGGGGGGGGAAGTCCTTATGGCTGGTTGGGACTGAGGGCGTGGCCCCTCACCGGACCTGTCCGATCAGTCTCGTCTCCCACTGCCGGGGGATGGGTTGTGCCAGGGATCTGTGGCAGCTGCGCAATACGCCAGGCTGATCAGGCGGCCGTTCTCTTGGTGTTGTGGTCCAACAGGTAGAGCGCAGAACTGAGACAGCATAATGGAGGAGTGCTGAAACGGCCCCCTTCCCAAGGGCTCCTGGGCCATTTGGAGTGTTAGGAAAGGGAGGAAAATCACTGCTTGGCATTCGCCCCCTTGGAGGTGCCGAACCTTGCTATACTTTATTCCACTTGGGCGATGGCAGGAAGGGGCGCAGGAGGAGGGACAGAGGAAGGAGACGATGGATGCAGGACCACTTGAAACTGGGAAGAGTTTTTCTCTCTCTCTCTCCCTCTCTCTCTCTCTCTCTCGTCTGCTCCCAATCTGCAGAGTCTGGGTGATATTCAGCAGAATAAAAATACAAATAAATAGTTAACAAAGACTCCTGCATGCCACCAGAAACATTCAATCATGGTATAAACCATGGCTTAAATAACAGCTCCTCCTCCAAATAGGTGGACTTCAACTCCCAGGATCCTCAGGGAGGATTTCTCGATAGTCCCTGTCCAGGTTAAGGAGTTCTGGGAATTGAAGTCCGCACTTCTCGGATGGGGGGATCTTGTCAGAGCAGGTTGTACTAGGACCCAGGGAGCGGAGAGAGTCAGGTAAGGTTAATCCCTTGTTGCTTTTCTCTTTTCTCCATCAGAGCATCCTGGATACGTGGACCAAAGGATTCAAGTGCAGTGGTGTGGAAGGGAAGGACGTGGTTTCGCTGTTACGGGAAGCTATAAAGAAGCGAGGGGTAATGAAAGCCAGATCTTTCCCCAGCTTGAGGCTCTAGGGCGGCACTAGATTTCCCCCAGGATCTATCGCAGGGTCTTTGGTGCTGCTGGAATCCTCCCATAGTTGATCTGCAGGATTGCATGTTTCCTTTAAAATTGTTTGGAAAAGAGTGCAAAACCTGTTCATGCCGTGATAACAGCCAGCCCAAAAATGTGTCTGTACGCACCGTGAAGAAACGATGCATCCACGCCAACCCTTTCAGTTCCCTGCCTTCTGTCTGCACGGAGGTTGCGAGGGCCCCTGACCTCAGGGGCCGCCCCTGTCCGGTGCCTCCAGCAAGGAAGGTCCCCTGGGAGTGGCTGGAAGGGAAGGCAGCGGCAGTGTGGCGGGAAGGGCCGGGTCCTTCCACAGCAGACGCCACGGACTCCTTGTTCTCCAGGACGTTGCTGCTTCGCCATTAAGTCCAGCGCAAAAGAAACTGGGCGCCACTGGTCCGCCCTGTCTGGTGCTGCCCCTGCCGCCAAGGCCCGGGAGGAGGAGTCCTCCGGGGTGTCCCCTGGACTGAGTAGCGTTGTTGAGCCAACCGGGACTCTCACCCAGCGCTTTCCTTCCCCATCCCTGCCTTGCAGGACTTTGAGATTGATGTTGTAGCTGTGGTGAACGACACCGTTGGGACCATGATGACCTGTGGCTATGACGACCACGACTGTGAAGTTGGGCTTATTGTTGGTAAGGGAGGCTATTTGGGCATAAGAAGGCCAAGCAGGGGCCTTTCCCCACCTGGGTGGCAAGTCTGTGCCAGGCGGGGAGCAGGAACCAACGTTGGCCCCATCAGATCCCTCCCCCTTCCCTCCCCATCTGTCCAGAGCTTCTGCTTTGTGGTGAGTCCTTCGCTGCCCATCGCTCTGGCCCTGAAGTCTCCTTGGCTTCTGCCTTGCCTTCTCTCCCCCACCCCCTCAGGTACCGGGTCAAACGCTTGCTACATGGAGGAGATGCGCCATATAGAGACGGTGGAGGGCGACGAGGGCCGCATGTGCATCAACATGGAGTGGGGAGCCTTCGGGGATGACGGGTCCCTCAAGGATATCCGGACAGAGTTTGACCAGGAGATTGACATGGGCTCCCTGAACCCTGGCAAGCAACTGTAAGTGGGAGGGGGTCTTGCCCAGGGAGAGGTGGGCCTCTGCTGAGCCGGCAGCTGCTCCAGGCCGAGGACGCTGGGTGGGCCAGGCCTGGTGGGGTTTCCAGGCCCAAGCTGGGCTCCCAGGGCTGAAGGACCGGCCGCCTGGCAGAGGGACAGGCGTGGCGGGTCCGTTTCCACCCTGCAGCCCTCAGTCCTTCAGAGGAACAGGGAGATCCAACATATGATGGTGTCTTCCTGGAATGCGGCCACTCTAGGACCGTTTTAGGGAACGTCGTCCTGGCCACCTTTCCCTCGAGGGACAGTCTGCGCGTTGGTTTTCCATGACTGCGCGTTGGTGGGGCTCACGGTGGGTGACCGGAGGAGCAGCCCACAATCAGGAACCTGGATGCTGACTTCGCCCCTTCCCTCCCGTGCCAGGTTTGAGAAGATGATCAGCGGCCTCTACATGGGTGAGCTGGTCCGGCTCATCCTGGTGAAGATGGCCAAGGAGAAGCTCCTCTTCAGCGGGAAGGTCCCCGAGGACTTGAGGAAGAAGGGCTGCTTTGAGACCAGATACGTCTCCGCCATCGAGAAGTGAGTGGCTGGGAGCCTTTGGGCCTTGCAAGAACCCGTTGGGAGGGCAGGGAGGAGCCGGGGCCGGGCGCATCCTTTGCTGACCCCAAGAGAGCCTGGAAGGGCTCCAGGGGAAGTGGTGCCCAGGGAGTTGGGCCTCCTGGCTCTCGGACCCCGAGGACAGCCAGCCGCCCTCCGCCCAAAGGAAGAGACTCTTGTAGAGAAGGGAAGGGGAGGGGATTCTGGATTGGCGGGGAGCGATTGGGCACCCAAGGCATTGGTCTCCGAGGCAGAGGCTCTCGGCATCCATACAAGCAGCAAGGGGTAAATCATGATCACCGGGGTCATCAAATACAGTCACCACAAGTCACGAGATACAACACTCCCTGATAATCGTACAGGATTCGAAATAAATATATATGTGTAACATAGGATATGAAATGAGAATGTAAGTCGTAGGAAGCTTGCCTGCTTGTATCGCCCTAGTTTTCTCCTAGCAGCATCTTAGTTGGGATCTGGGTTGAAGGCGGCACTTGGGTTCTCCTGGGAGGGAGGTTGGGACCTCAGCCTGCCCAGGCCAGGCAGGCCCACAGAGGGGGATACGGGAGGGTAGCTCAGGTGCCAGGACGAGAGCCCGGAGCCCCTGGGGCTTCAGCCAACGGCTCCTCCTCAGCCTTCCTGGAACCCCCGCGTGGAGGCTGGCCTAGAGGCCTCCATCCAGGCAAATAGCCGGGTGGATAGGAATCCCCTGGGCTCCCTGAGGACCCTTCCATGGAGGCCAAAGGCTAGGAGGAACCTGGGAGGCTTTCTGGTCCACCCCTGATGCCCAGGACACAAGTCCTCCAGTCATCCTGACCAGCACGGCAGCCGAGCAGGGCTGAAAAGGACACGAGGGAGGGAAGGTCGGGGGGGGCTGGGCTGCAGGATTTGGCCATCCCAGAGAGGGTTAGGGCAGAGGTGGCAGCAGGCAGGCAGCGCAGCAGGGACTCAGCCCGGCTCCCCCTCCGAATTGGCAGGGAGAAAGAAGGCCTCTCGAAAGCCCGCGCAGTCCTGGAGCAGCTGGGCCTGGAGCCTTCCCACGAGGACTGCGTGGCCACCCAGCGCGTCTGCGAGATCGTCTCCACCCGCTCGGCCCACCTCTGCGGAGCTGCCCTGGCCGCCGTGCTCCACCGCCTGAAGGAGAACCGGGGCCTCGACTGGCTGCGCACCACCGTCGGGGTGGACGGCACCGTCTACAAGAAGCACCCTCAGTAAGTAGGCTCTGGGGACCCAGCTGGAGAGGCTCCGAGGGGGTCGTGGCTGGCCAGTATCCTGGCTGGGGACTCCGTTCGAGGTCCAGAGGGAGAGGATTTTGTTGAAGGGGAGCATTTGGCTTTGCAGCAAGCCAAAGTCTCTTCCTCCCTCCCTCTCTTCCCTTCCCTCCTTCTGTCCTGCACTCTTAAGCTCCTTGGCTCAGTTCCTGAGTTTGGGGCCTGCTGTGGGTTGGAGCGACCCACATAGTTCCGTGCAGAGATAAACGGGGTGGGTGTCCTCTCCGTACCTCACAATCTCAGGTGAGCTCAGGGGCCGCAGGGCTTTCAGCTTGAAAGGGGACGTTGCCAGGGGCCCCGCGTCTGCAGTGGAGTGTCGCCAGCTTCATCCAGATCCCGCGGCCCTTCAGGATGTTGGCAGGGTTGGGCTGGTCTGGATTGGGGGCAGCTGAAGCTCCCCCCTCGGAGAGGCTGTTCTGAAGGCCCAGGGAGCGAAGGGGAAAAAAACGGGCCAGAATCTCTTCGGAGTCCTTCCCGGGGCACTGGCTGGGGGCCTGCGGGCCTCCCAGGTGCCCGTCCCCTCCCTTGCCAAAGCAGGTGGCGTGAAGAGGCTCCCTGGTGGCTCCAGTGGCTGCCGGCTCTTACACGCGAGTGTAAGGCTGGGAAGTGGTTCCCTGAGCAGCTGCTGTCTTCACGGTACCCTCTGTGCCAAACCGTCCCCTTGGCTCCAGCTGGGGGCACCGGGAGGCTTCTGCAGGGAGCCCTGCAACAAACGCTTCCCTTGCCCATCTTTCTCCCGCACAGTTTTGCCCGCCGCCTTCACAAAATCGTCCGTCGCCTCCTGTCGGGCCACGAAATCCGATTCGTCCGGTCAGAAGACGGCAGCGGCAAGGGAGCCGCCATGGTGACGGCGGTGGCGTATCGGCTGGCTGCCCAGCACGAGGTCCGCCAGCAGATCCTCCGCCCCCTGCGGCTCAGCCAGCAGCAGCTGCTGGAGGTGAAGGGGAGGATGCAGCAGGAGATGGCGTGGGGCCTGGCCCGGCAGACGCACGCCAAGGCCACCGTGAAGATGCTGCCCACCTATGTGTGTGCCACTCCAGATGGGACAGGTATGGAGGCCCCAGGCAGCCCCCGCTGGAGCTGGGGGGTGGGAGGTTCGGTCAGGACCCCACAGCCCGGTTGTGACCGATGCCGATTGCAGGAGACATCCAACTTAGCGCCCCTGAAGTAAATCACAACCCTCACACCCCCCCAAACCAGGTTTGGCCTCCTGGGGCGCCTGCACGGCTGGAGACCCTGTTGGAGAAGGGCAAAGGCTGCCCCGGGGCGCCTCTGGGAGGAGGCATGGAAGCGGTTCCCTCTCCCTCACCTGGCCTCCTGGATGCCTACTCTTGCCGGAGGTTTTCTAGTGTCCCTGGAGCAGATCTGTTTGTTCCCTCAAAGCATCCCCCCCTCCCGACAATTGGCCTCTGCTGGAGGCTGCGTCTGCTTCCCTCGACCCGAGTGCTCAGAGGGGCCCCTCTGGCGAGCCTTCACAGGTGCCTTCCAGGTGCATCCCTCCCAGCAGCCGCCTCCAGTGCCCTCCTCCTTGGGAGTGTTGCCAGGTGCTGCTGTCAGTGCATCTGGAGGCCATCACTGTGGAGAAGGACACCTAAGGATTTCATGGCTCCCCTCCTCCTCCTCCTCCTCCACCATCAACACCACCATCACCATCGTGGGTAACTGTTGGGCTCTGCAGAACGAGGCATAGATGTTCTCCTGTGGGTGTGGAAGGTCTGCAGGGGTGGTTGTAAAAGGAGCTGGGTTTGGGTTTCAGAAAAGGGAGACTTCCTGGCCTTGGACCTGGGGGGCACCAACTTCCGTGTGCTTCTGGTGCGCGTACGAAATGGGATGCGGCGCAGCGTGGAGATGCACAACAAGATCTACACGATTTCAGAAGACATCATGCAAGGAACCGGAGAGGAAGTAAGTGGCCCTTGGAAGAGGGGGAGGGGCTTTCAGTGGATGGAGAAGTTCTGGCCAGTCCAGAGGCACCTTCCTTGCAGGCCCGGCCTCTGGTGCCCTGGCATCTTGGCTTAAGGGTCTCTGGAACAGCCGGGGTCTCTAGGAGAAGCAGCCCTACCCGCCGGGGTAGCTGTGGGAGGCAGCACGAAAGTCAAGCAGGGGGTTCTTGATCTGGGGTCTAATCAAGGGTCGGAACTGAGGCGGTGGCCTCAGAGGTGCGTTTCGACCGATAAAGCACTTCGGAGAGTGGCCGAGGGTTGCAAAACATGCGTGATGGGATGAACTTCAGTGGTGAGAAAAAGTTTTGCGCCTAGGCAAGAAAAACGGAACCTGCAGGTCCAGATTGGGTGGCACCTGGCTCAACAGCCATAACTGTGAGGGGGATCCGGGAGTCCCTGTGGACAGCCACTTAAATAGGAGCCAGCTGTGCGTGGCAGCCACCACCAAAAACCCTCCCAATTCACCCTTCCTTGCCTTGTGGAGGCTGCCTGGGGAATTCTGGGGGTGGAAGTCCGAGCAGCTTAAAGTTGGCACGTTTGGCCAGCCTGGCTCCAGAGCGGGGCCTGAGAGGGGCCTCTGGCTGAGGGCCTCGTCCCAGAAGCAGCAGCCATTCGGTTACACGGGGTGGAAATGTTTGAGGGGGGCAGAGGAGCTGCCTACGGTGAGAGGAGCAACAGGAAGTAACCCAGGGATGGAAAGGTTGCCGGGGGCCCTTTCACAGAGGAGTCCCCCTCCTCAAGTGAGGGAAGCTGCTGGGCCAGAGGAGCATTTCTGCGTGAATGGGGGCCCAGCGCTTGGCCCCCCTGTATCCAGGCCGCTTCCAGTTGCCCCCTCTGGGTGGCCCCGGGCCCCTTTGGGGGGGCGCCTGCTGGGTTTCTCTGAGGAAGGGAAGCGTCCCGCCATCCCTTCTGGCCGGCCGAGGGTTGGGAATCCGTGGCGAGCAGGCCATCCAGGTGCCTTCCGAGATGGACTTTGGCTCCTGTCCATCCAGCCTGGGCAGGGGAGGCTCCGCGGCTTTTGAGTCCGGGCACGCGGGTCCTGCAATTGGAGGCGTGAAGAGGGTCCCCTCGATTCGGGCCCGGGGCCCTCAAGGGGGCGGAGCATCCCAGCCAGCAGCGCCAGGGGCAGCTGGGATTCTCAGCTCCGCCCCTTTTTCCTCCCGGCAGCTCTTTGACCACATCGTCAGCTGCATTTCGGACTTCCTGGAGTACATGGGGATGAAGGGCGCCTCGCTCCCCCTGGGATTCACCTTCTCCTTCCCTTGTCAGCAAAAGAGGCTCGATGAGGTACGGCTTCTCCTCCTGCTGCTTCGCGTGTGCAAGGGCGTGTGTGTGTGTGTGTGTGTGTGTGTGTGTGTCTATGCTTGTGCCAGCTCCAATGATGAATCGGCACCAGGCAGCCCAAAGTATCAAGTTGGGTTAAAAAGCAGTGGAAGCAAAAAGTATCCAGAACTTCGTCAGGATTGGTGAAGAAAGGACCGGGAAGTTTAGTCAGTTAATTGATTCAAAAATCCCCCCCCAAAAAAAGATTCCCCGAGGGAATGAGAGGCCGAAGCCGCCCCCCCCCCCCCCGGCGGGGGGGGGGGGGCCCGGGGCCCCCCTTCCCCCAAACCCCGGGGGGGGGGGGGGGGGGGGGGGGGGAGGGGGGAGCCGGGGGGGGGGTTGCTTGGGGGTGGCATTTCAGGGCAGGGCTAAATCGATCCGCAGGAGGGAAGCCTGGGATTCCTGAGGGCTGGGAGCAAGGAGGGAGATGTGCAAATGTTTCGCACCCGCCTCATGTTTGATGTCCTGCCCACAACCTGGGCTGCCCAGAGATGCAGAGCGGGGCGTTTCCAAGGCAGGTGTGGATGGGCTGCACGAACCTCCTCTGGCCAGCGCAGGAGCTCTGCGGGTCCCTCGGGGGAGCCTGTGGGAGTCTGTGGGAGCTGGGCACACATCCCTCCATTTGCTGGTTAAGCTGGCAGCCGCCTGGAGGCCTTGCAGGAACCGGCCGGGGAGATGTGAGCTGCTTGCTTAACCTGAGGCCCCGCGGATGAAGCGCCTGCTGGGGGATTCCCAGATGGGCTTTCACAGAAACCTCCTTATTTGTGTGTGTGTGTGTGTGTGTGTGTGTCCCCCAGGGCATCCTCCTGCAGTGGACCAAGGGCTTCAGCGCATCTGGTTGCGAAGGAGAGAACGTTGTGGGGCTGCTGAAGGAAGCCATCCTCAGGAGAAAGGTACCCCGACCCGTTTGGGAGGGAAGGAAGCCAAGGAGGGGCCTCGGACTTTTGGTTTCTAATTCCATCGGGGCAGGTTCCTGTTCCCTCCTAGAATAACAGAATAGCAGAGGGGGGAGGGACCTTGCAGGTCATCTAGTCCAGCCCCCTGCTCTAGCAGGGGACCCCGCACCATTTCTGACAAGCGACTGCCCAGCCTCTTCCCGAACGCTTCAAGCCTCTCTTTTTCTTTCTCCCCCTTAGGAGTTTGACCTGGATGTGGTGGCCTTGGTGAACGATACGGTGGGCACCATGATGAGCTGTGGGTATGAAGACCCCCTTTGTGAAGTGGGGCTCATCGTTGGTAAGCACCAGGCCTGGGTTGCGAAAGCAGCGGTTTAAGGGGTGGAGGGGCTCCTTCTGCCCTCCCCTTCGGAGGTCCCTGGGGGCTCTTCCTCCTGGATGGAGGCGGCTGCAGGCGAGAGGCTGAGAGCCTCGGGGGTTGCAGGTCACGCTCCGCCCTGCTCCGGCTCCTGAAAAGGAGGGCAGAGATGGCCTGGGACAACGCAGGGGGCAGCCACCGTCATCAGACCCTGAGCTTAGCCTGGGCAACGCTCCCCTTTCGCTGCTCTTGGCATACGAGGGAGGAGAGGGGAGGGGAAATGCGGCCTCGTCCCGTCCTGCTTCTGGCCTCTGCAGCTGGCCTGGGCCTGGCACCCGGCTGCTCCCTGCCACGCTGGCATGCCTGGTCCTGTGGGCCTGGCCTCTTTTCCTAGCTTCTGCCTCTTTGTCCCTTGGGCCTCTGAGATCCTCCTCCCCTGTTGCTTTTCCAGGAACCGGCACCAATGCCTGCTACATGGAGGAGCTGAGGAACGTGGAGCTGGTGGCCGGGGACCAAGGCAGGATGTGTGTCAATATGGAGTGGGGGGCCTTTGGGGACAACGGCTGTTTGGAGGAGTTCTGGACCGAGTTTGATGCCACCGTGGACGAGAACTCCCTCAACCCTGGGAAGCAGCGGTGGGTGAACTGGGGGTCTCCCCCCCCCCCGGCTTGGCAGGCACATAACAGAGAGGAGGGATCCACTGTCCATCATCTAGCCTGACCCTCCTTGCTGGATTCCCGCAACAGGCCTGCGTTCTGCTGAATGCTGGGATTGTTTGGTTCCACATTGGTGGGGGGGCAGCCATGGTTGGAGCAGGTGATGCAAACAGAGCCCCATTCTAGACTGTGTAACGCGGCTTCTTTAGTTGGGCGTTGTCTGTTGTTGAGCAGTTACGAGGTTTCCTTAACCCCTTAAGTTTAGCATGTGAGTTGGCTTCCTTTAGTGTTCCCGACCTTATTCTCCCCCCCCCACACACACACACATTTCAGATTTGAGAAGATGATCAGTGGGATGTACCTGGGGGAAATTGTCCGCAATATCCTGATTGACTTCACCAAGCGAGGACTTCTCTTCCGTGGGAGGATCTCTGAGCGGCTGAAGACAAAGGGGATCTTTAAGACCAAGTTCCTGTCCCAGATTGAGAGGTGAGATCCGGTCAGGTCTGATCAAGGTCTGGGGCCAGAATCTCCACTGGCCACCAGCAAAGGAGAGGGAGGCGGAAATGGCTGGCGGCCTCTCCCCCTCCCTGGACCTTCCTTGGCCTCTCCCAGAGTGCCGGATCCTCGTTTAGGATGGGATGAGCAAAGGGCTCCGGGAGCGTCTCCCTTCAGAGTGGCGGCTGCCTCCCAGGGGCCGGGTTTACTTCCCCTTCTGTGGCCTTTCCCAATCACCAGGTAGTTTCTAGGACTACAAATCCCATAACATCTGACCCAGCCAAGATGGAGGAGGTTGGTGCAGTATTTCCATGGGAGCTGTTGTACTCTGGGTAGAATTGTAGAGCAGAGCCTCCCCCCCCCCTTCTCTGCCCCTGGCGCAGTGCTTGGATCGGGCAATGGACAGGCAGACACTTACAGCTGTTGCCTTCCAGCACGTGGAGAAGACCGAGGGGTTTTCCTCTGCTGTACATTCTTGGTGTAAGGCAAACATGCAAAAAGACAACTGCACATATCTAACCTCTCACAGACACCCACAACACCCACATGCCTTACAAGAGCCTCTGTTGGGGGAGTTTCTGTGGGGAGCTCCTGGAAGGAAGGACAGGCCAGTCGGCAGTAGAATATCCTCAGTTGCTGAGCTTCCAGTTTCACCATCAGTGAGTTGGAAACTGAAGTAGCGCCCCCCCCCCCCCCCGGTCTCCCCTTGGACTCTCCACTGGGCTCCGTTTCAGGCAGGAGCTCAGCATGGAAGGGAGGCTCCTCCTGAGCCCAGCAGTTGTTTGGGGTCAGCATAATGACGGGAGCATGGCCAGCCCCTCCCCCAGGTAGGCCAGGACAGGGAGGCTAAAACCGCTTGGATTGAGACGGACTATAAGAACAGAGTGCAGGCCTGGCCATCTCCCCCTCCTCCCCTCCCTGCTTGAGCCCCTTCCCGGCGTTCTCTCGCTGGGTGGGACTTGAAGGGTCTCCTGTCTCTTCTTAGCTTGGCCAAGGCCACCACCCTGACTTTCTACCTCAGGCCAGGCCCCCTCCAGTGAGGTGTGCAAAAGGCCCGCCCCGTTGCTAACGTGCCCGTGTGCCCCCACCTTCTGCCCCTAGTGATTGCCTGGCGCTGCTTCAGGTCCGTCACATCCTCCAGGACCTCGGTCTGAAGAGCACCTGTGACGACAGCATCATTGTGAAGGAGGTGTGCACCGTGGTCGCCCAACGTGCCGCTCAGCTGTGTGGGGCAGGAGTGGCCGCAGTGGTGGACAAGATCCGAGAGAACCGAGATTTGGACTTCCTTAAGGTCACCGTCGGTGTGGATGGGACCCTCTACAAGCTCCATCCCCAGTAGGTTCCTCGGCTTGGCCTGGGCGGGGGGAGGGGTTGGATGCCCTAAAGCCGCGTTTGCCAGACTGGGCACCTTTAAGGTGCGCAGACCGATTTCCCAACCAGCACCTGTAGACTTCAGTTCCGAGAATACCAGCTGGAGAATTCTGGGAGTTAAAGCTTCTGAAGGTTGAGCAAGGCCAGCCTAAGACAAGACCTGCATGAGGGGGAGGGGAGGGGAGGGGGCCCAGAAGAGATCTAGGGGGCTTTGTGCTGCCCCAGCACCTTCCGCCCGGAGGCATCCTTCACCCTTTGGCAAGCGTGGTCCTGCACCGCGCAGCCTCCTTGGCGTCGTGTCGTTCTGTAGTGATTGCACAGGATTTGCCACAACAGGAGAGGCCTGTCATCATTGCATCTCTCCTTCCTGGGAATATGTCACTAAAGCAGACCCAGAAATAATTGGCAGAAACAGTGAAAGCTTGAGGGTGGCTGGCATTTCTGTTCAAGGCCCAGAAAGGGGAACGAGAGCAAAAAGGGCCGAGGGAGGAGGAAGGACGTCCGCTGAGCTCCTCTGCCTTTCTGCTCTCTCCGCAGCTTCTCTAAGGAGATGGAGAAGACCGTGAAGCAGCTGTCACCCAGGTGCGAGGTGACCTTCCTGCAGTCCGAGGACGGCAGTGGGAAGGGGGCGGCCCTCATCACTGCGGTGGCTTGCCGGTTGCGGGAGGCTGGCCAGCATTGAGAAGGGCCCCCACACCCTCCCTCCCTCCCTCCCTGCCCAGGCTCCAGGCCATTCCGGGCAGGGTCCTCCTCTCTTCCAAAGCTGCTCCCGCCGGAGCCCATCCGGGCCAGGCCCTTTGCACACAGAGAGCAAGCCTCCCTCTAGGATACAGGCCGCCTCTTCCAGCGGATCTCCAATAGCGGTTAGGTGCCCTGGGGCCGCCTCCCGCCTGAAGCACCCGGTCCTGAGCTAGGCCCAGGCCAGGAGCAGAAGCACTGCCAGGTCCGCCAGCCGCAGCAAATCTGCTTACACCACGACTTCAACATTCGTAGTAGGATAGCAAGTCTCAGCCTTCGGAGGGCAGGGACCTTCCGCAGTCCTGGATCTGGAGAGAAGCTCAGGGACCTGCCAGCACTTAGGAGAGGCTGCTGCTGCCTGCTGGCCTTCCTTGGAGAGGCAGCCTTGCCACCCAGAGCCTGTCCACCCCATCCATCTGCAGGGTCCTGCTCCCCAAAGCTGGCAAGGGACTGCCGTGGCCCCATCCGGGAGGGAGGGAGGGAGCTGCCCCCTGGGCCCTTGAGGAGCCCTGCTCCTCTTTCCCCTCACAACTTCTAAGCCAGCCTCTTAGTTCTCCATCTAGAGAGACACGGGTGTGTGTGTGTGTGTGTGTGTGTGTGTGTGTTGCAGCAGGTTTTCTGTCCTAAGAGGAGAATAATTTGGAAACCGCCCCTCTACCAGGGAGGAAAAGGGCTCTTCCCCAAGACGCTTCCATGCAATCTGAAGACAAGGACACCCGGTGGAGATCCCGTCATGCTGGCTAATTGTGGGCCTTGCAGGTGTGCTCCAGGAGCCCCTGAGCCATTGCAGAGGAGGCCCTGATGCCACGTTCTCTGCAAAACCAACCAGTTTGCCCCTTCTCTCTGAATCTGCTTCTTTCTTGAGTTTCCACCTCTGCCAGGTTTGGGACTGCAACCCCTCCTCTCTCTCCCCCCCCTTCTGCGGGGGGGAAAAGGGAGGCCTCTTCCCCACCTGTTTCTCATTTGGAAGTTTTGAGGGCGAAGGTGGAGGAGGTGAAGAAAGGGCCCCTCCAGGCGTGGACCCTTGGCTCCTGAGGGAGGCCGCTGCAGGAAAGCAGCCTCCAGAAAGCAGCTGGGGTGGCAGAGTCGCCTCTTGCCTTTCCGCGGCCTCCTGCAGTGGCCAAGCTCACCTGCCAGTTCTGAACTCGGCCACGGGATGATGGGCACCTGCAAAGAGGGAAAAGGCTGTTTTCCTCAGGGAGCCCAGCAGCTCCCCTCATGGCGGAAGATCTATTGAACAGGAGTCAAACTTCACCTGGGACACCCAGTACAATTTTGGTGGTCATTTTGAAGGGAAATTATTCTATTTTTTTTATCTCTCTTATGTATGTATTTATATTTATGGCTTGGATACCTGAAACAAACGCTCAAGAAAATATTCCATTTAAAAATATGCTCTTCCTATTCTTCTTTTAAGCATTTAAAATGATTGGACTATTTTAGCTTCAATCTTGCAATAAAGAGGAACCACTTCGAACAGCCTGTGTGGAAATTACTAAATGAAAATTTGTGATGGGACAATATTAAGTTTATCTATTTTTATACAAGGGAGGACAAAAGGAATAATCTGATGGCAAAGCTTTTTGTGGAGACTTTACTGCAAATAATACCTCTCTACTGAAATGATTGAAAACAATATTTGATCTACTGTAATTACAGAGAAAGTAATTCCCTATGTGTATTTTTCTCTGGAATTTATATTCATGAGATTGTCAAGAATGTAGAAATGCCTTGTATTTTCTTAGTAGTGTGCTTGCTTTAATGAACAACACCTTTTGCTTAATAAGATTGTTAACTGGAAAGAAAGGAATTAGAAATAAAACCCTCTTTTGTCAGATTTGGGTTTGTTTGTAGCCAGAGGAAGGGTGGCAGGGAGGTTTTGGGCCGGGCTTGGGAAGGTGGCTGTGTGTGTGTGTGTGTGTGTGTGTGTGTGTACGTACACCTTTTGGTAAAGCCCTGAGCTGGGAAGTAATAATAGACCACTCTGATTCTCACAATTTTATGTTGCTACTCCTGTGCTATTTAGAAGGCCACCTGACACTCTCAAACATTCTTATTCTTAATGTTTTATATGATGATGATGGTTATTTATCAGTCACTTGAGGCTCCCAAACAAACTCCTAACCCAAAAGAATTTTATTAAAGATTACAATTGGAAAACAAAAAACAATACAAACTACAAATAATAAAGAAAAAACGGTTGGATAAACAGAGGCATAGAATCAAAATCACCTCAAGTGTTACTACCACTTTAAAAGCCCTAGTAAGGCCACACCTGGAATCCTGCATCCAGTTTTGGTCACCCCAAAAAAGAGGCTGAGACTTGGGAAAGCAAAGTCTGCCGAGAAGAGAAGAGGAAGCAGAGCAGGCGGCCTGGCGATGGCTTGGCGGGGCTCCCGTTGCTAAGCAGAGGTCCCCTCTCGGAGCGCTGGGTGGCGCAATGGCGCTTTCCCATCCTTTGGCCAGGCCCTTCCGGAGCAGTTGCTGAGAAATGCTGGCAGGCCAGATCCAGGCGGGCAGCCCCTGAGTTTTCGAGGCAGCCCTTGCCCAGCAACCTGCCTTCCTGCCACAGTTACCCTGACAAACCAGTCTGGGATCCGGCCCTGGAGGAGAGATCCGGGCGAGATCCAGGCAGGTGCCTGCAGGTAGTGCTACCTGGAATGTGGGGCTGCTGTCCAGGGGTGCAGTTGCCTCTGGAGCAGGCTGGCTCCTTTCCTGAGCCTGAGGAGGGGAGGCTCCCTTCAGGCTTGGCTAGTCAAGAACGTGGGAGTGGAGAGGCGGCCTGGAAGCCCTGCGACCAAAGCCTCTTCGGTCATGGCCAAGGCTCGTCCCCTTTGCTCCAGGCTGAGCGCTCCTCTTCGGCCTCCCCTGCGGCCAGCTGGCTCCTCCTCCTGCAGGGCCAGGCTAGAGGTCTGTGGAGAGGCGGGGGGGGGGGGGGGGGGGGGGTCTGCCAGGCAGAAGAGACCAGGCCCAGGGGAGTTGGGGATTGGGGGTGTCCTGAGGCTGCTGCCACTTCTTCCCCTCCCTCCCTCCTGGTTGCCATCGGGGGCGGAGAGGGTGCCCGTCCCGAGAGCCACCGATTCCCCGGTGCAAGGCAGCCATCTGCTTCGCTGGCTGTGACTGCCTGCCTGCCTGCCTGCGGCACCCTCCCTTCGATCTCCTTAGCTGCTGGGCCTCAAAGGTGCTGAGCTGCATCTCTGCCGTTGCCCGTTTCTAGGCAAGAGCGGGGTTCCTCTCGTCTCCTCACAAGCCTCCATGGACCCCCCCACCCCCCAGTTGACACGGATCCAAAGTTTGGAAGGGCGGCTCCCCTCCCTCCCCCAGCAGAGAAACCAAGGATCCTCCGCATTAGCTGCGTTTGGAAGCTGCCCAAACCGGTGGGGGTCATTTTGTGGTACAGCTCCCACCTTGCAGCTGAAGGGGCACCGGCAGTGGACATGCCACCCAGAGAGCCCCCTCCCTTAGCTCCAAGGCGGCTCCTCCCCAGGGTTAGATCCCTATGGAGCTGCTGCTGCCTCGTGTCACGTGGACTGAATTCTGAGATAAGCAATTAACAGAATAACGTCATAGAGCTGGAAGGGCTCGGAGGTCTTCTAGTCTAACCCCTTGCTGAAGCAGGAGACCCTAATCCCATTTCAGGCCAGAGGCCGTCCAGTCTCTCCTTGAAAACCTCCAGTGATGAAGCCCCCACAGTTTCTGGAGGCAAAGCTGCTCCGCTGGTTAATTGTTCACACTGTCAGGGAATTTCTCCCGAGTTCTAGGTTGCTTCTCTCCTTGATTAGTGTCTGTACTTCGTTTCTTGACTTCTGGTGGTTTGGAGAATAGTTGGACCCCCCCCTTCTTTATGGCAGCCCCTCAAATACTGGGCTCCTGCTATCAAGTCATCCCTGGTCCTTCTTTTCAGGAGATTAGACATCCCCAATTCCTGCAACCATTCTTCATAGGTTTTAGCCTCCAGCCTCCTAATCATCCTTGTGCTCTTGGGCCTAGTGCCGGACCATAGTTTTCTCACCACCAAACTGAATCGCACTGGATGATGATCCATGATTTTGAGTAATAAGAAACAAGACTTTGAATCTGGATGATAGAAAAGGAACTCTGGCGGACTTACAGGGTTTTGTTGCTTATCGTTTAAACTTGTTTTTTCTGAAAATCAATAAAATTATATTAAAATATTCTGAATTTATAGAGGAAAAAACAAACCTTAATGAAATTGGATTAAATGCAAATAGCGCTATATAAATTAGATTTAAATAAAGTGCTTTTTTTTTAAAAAAAAAAAGCAGAAAACCAAAACCCACGGACCTCCGATAGGCCCTTGCAGACCTCAGTGCTGTGAAGAGGGGGGGGGGGAGTAAGGCGTCTTGTGTGGAACTTCCAAACTTGTGCAGGGTATGAAGTGATGGATCTGAGGAAGGAAGGATGGGAGATGTGGGGTGTGTGTGTGTGTGTGTGTGAGATGGTGCTCCATTCAAAATCCAAGAAAGACACTCTTGGACTCCATTGCTATAGAGAAAAGAAACTTTTACTGGGAAGGCGTCTTGAAGGCTGACGGGGGTGGGGTGGGGGGAGCCCCTTTCTAGCAGTTCCCTCCTTCACTGGAGGAGGCGTTCCAGCAAAGGCTGAGAGTCATGCTTGAACTTGGATTCCTGTGCTGAGAAAGGGGTTGGACTGGATGGTCTCAAGGCTCCCTTCCAGTTTGAAGGTTCCGGAAGTCTAAGCCTGTGGGATCCCGGTCCAGGTCAAAGCCCCATTCCACGATCGAAAGGCATATCAAGGTCTCTTTTTAGCAAGGACTTTGATCCCCCGGGAGAAGAGCAAAGAGCCTGCAGAGGGTTTCCGACAGAGGAAGTGCCTTCCTTGGCAGTGAGGGTCTCCGGGGGATTCAGCTCTCCGACTCTTGATCACTGTTTCTCTAGTGTTCCTTCCCTAATTGGTGTTTTATTGCATTCTCTATTATTAAAAAGACACTTTAATGCTGTGTACCACCTGGAGTTGTTTGGCATGACAGATGGCGCATTCTTATTTTAATAAGGAGCCACATCATAAACCAGTGGGACAGCAGATAAGACTCATCCAACAGCGCCAGGGGGGCCGTGGAGAAGACGGCAGACCTCTTCTCTGGGGCTCCGGGGGGAGGGGGGGCTGGCAGGAACTCCTGAATGCCTGCCTGGCCAAGTCCAAAAAGGGCTCCCGCTTTCTTAGGGGGTCCTTCCCGAGGGGTCAGGTTGGCATCATTGGGGCGCAGCAGCTGCAAACCTGGCCTCACCCCGCTGCTGCGCTTGGCACCAGCTGGAAAGAAGCTCCCACTCTGCACCCCGCATGCCAAGACAGGGTGCCTGGGCCCCCAGAGGTTGTGGGGCAAGAGCAGAGCAAGGCTGGCCTGGCCTCCTCGTGGCGGTGATCCGGTAGATCTCGATCTGGTTCTACCTTGAGAGGCCAGGCTGGCGGCAGAGGGGCTTCACTCTTGCTTGTCAGCTGGGCCTATATCGGGGTGGGGGGGAGGTGGGCTTTCTGGCACTGCTCTGGCCTCCTTTTCCTTTGGCTGGTGATCCTGCAGCGAAGGAGCCTGGAGGGACGATGAGCCCCTGGGAGACGCTCCGCTCGGCTTCTGAGGTTGCTGAATGGGATTTTGCTGCCAAAGCCCCACTGTGGGTCCTTCAGGGCAGCTTCTACTGAGATTAGAGGGGGGGACCTTGCCCCGCTCCCATTGGAGCCCCTGCGGTGGGCAAACCGCGCCTGTGGCCCTCCGCCATTGGTGCCCAGCCATTCTGCCATGGGTGGCAGAAGAGTCAGGCTCCCTCCCTCTTCCTTGCCCACCGGGGCCCAGCCTGACAGCCCAGGCCCAGGCCACCAGGCGGGCAGGGGGCCAGGGACCTGGGGAGGACGGGGGCACTGCTGCAGCCAGGCTGATGGGGAAGCAGTTTGATGGGATCCGGAAACTACGCCTGGCTCTGACTTAGTTCGTGTGGGGACTTCGATACCCAGAATTCCCCAGCAGAATTCGCTGAATTCTGGGCCCTGAAGCCCAGGCCCACCAGAAAGTCCCCAAGGGTGAGGAGCACGCCACTGTCGCATCGTCTCCCTGAATTGTCAGAGGATGAGGGGGGCCCTTTAAGCTTTTCCTGTCAATCCACCCCCCCCCACACACACACACATACACACATCATCATTATGAAGAGTTTACAGGTTTTGGAAGCTTCTTTGCTTAATCGATGATAAATAAATAAAAAAAGCCCCACTGCCAGATTTCAAGGCAGTTGTGGGTGGGGGAGCCTCCGATGTCGCTCAAATCCATCTGGTCTCTTCTAGTCCATCAATGCCGTTGAAATAATTCACCCTCAACAGCCCCTCCAGGTGACCAGGAGGGAGCGACTGTCTGCCGCTTGTCTTTGCGGTGGGAAAAAGAAGGAAAGAAACAGATCTCCAGCTGCTTCCCCTCTAATTGCCCTCTTCCTCTGGATTAGAGGTGGGCCAACATCCTACCCAACAATCCTTCCTGAAAATAGGCCTGCTCTTTATTCCAAACCCCCCCTCCCCCCGACTCAGGGTGACAGCAAAGAAGCCCCCCCCCAAAACCAGGAGCAGGAAAAACAGAACTGAGGTAATTTGGTGCCAGGAGCCCCCCCCCCCCCCGCGGGGAGGCGCCGCAGCAAGGGGTCAGCAGCCTGGCCTGGACTCTGGGGCCATTTGAGTCCATCCCGGTCCGGTCTGAATGCCTGCGGTGCCCTCGGAAAGGTGGCTCTGGCTCTTGGTTGCCCCACCCACTCTGGGGAGAGGGACGGCCCAGAGAGGGAGGGCAAGGCCACCGAGGGACAGAGGCTTCGTACCTTGTAA